GCAGCAGCAGCAGCAGCAGCATCCATGCAGGATCAGGGGCCTTCTTGGGGGGACCCGGTGCGGCGAGGAGTTCAACAACGTGTTCATGGGGAGCAGCATCAGGACTTGGTTGCGAAACAAATGCAAGTGATGAAGCTGTGCAGTGCATAGCGTTTGCAGAGGAGCCGGTGGCTGGGGTGTATGCGGTGCTTGGGCTGTATGAGGAGGTCCGGTGTACGTCGACCTGGAATTCTGTAGCTTTTCCCTCGCCGCTATGGAGAAACACAGAAGAGAGTGAAATCTTTATGACCCAGCAGAGCAGCAGCAGCAACAGCAACAGCAACAGCAACAGCATGCATGCATCTCCTCCTCCTGCATTCTTAACGGGGAAACACCACCTGGAGGAGGCCCTCTTAGAGGCAGTTTCTGCTGCTTTTCCTGGGCGGCAGCTGCAGGGCATCGTTCTTCACTTTAGTGAACTTAACACGCAAAAGCTACTTGAACAAATCCTGCATGCACAGGTGTTTGGGGCTTTGCCGGTGCATGGATCCCCACCATGCAGCAGCAACGCCACCATCAACAGCCGCGTCTGCTGCCTCGTTGTGAGGCTCTTTGCTTTCCCTTGCGGCCTCTATAGCGGTTGGCTGTTTGCTGGCACGATCGACTGAACTTTCTTTGTTTGTTCTGTATTGTCTTGCAAACAAATTTGCTTCCATTTCACAATATCTTCTGGCACGTGTTTGTTCTAATAGACTTCTCCCTTTTGGCTTAGTTGTGCTCTATTCCTTCACTTGGTGTATATTCGTTGGTTTAGTTTTGCTTTGGCGCTCATACTTTTCTTTTTAATGCCTTTCTTCTCGTCGCTTACCCACCACACCTGGTGTTGCTGCTGCTGCAACAAGTCATAGGCTTATGCAAACTGCGGCCACGGAAACAAACAAACAAAATGAAAAATTCATCTCTTTCAGTATTCCGTAATCTGCATCAAGTAGCGACGGTTGCAGCTACAAACCTAAATCATCTGAAATCTACTCTATTGAGGGTTTGCTGCTTTGCACTTGCAGCAGCAGATGCATGAGCGTATTACAGCAGCTGCAGCTTCACTGAAACCATGGTGGCGGCTATGCTCTCAACTCTATCACTGTCATTGTAAACCCTAAACCCTAACAAAAACTTCCTGCGCGTTTGCTTCTTCTGTAACCAGGATTTATTCAGGGTATATGTGTGTCTGCATGACTAGCATCCTAAGAAAATCAATTCCCCACGATCACAGTGGCTCGCACAGCTTGCTTTCGCTTTCTGGCTGAAACTCTGTTCAAGAAAGAGAGGAGAAACACCCCCGGCTATTCATTACATTTGCTACAATAGTTTAGTTGAGGTTCTGTCTACAACTTGGCTATTACTATTTACATTATTGTCTGGCGGTATCCCTCTAAACGCTCGACAAACCGCCAGATGCAGCTCTCCCTTTGTATGGTTTTGTATGAGGGCTTGCCCTGAATCCTCTTCCTCTAGGGGGTATGTTTGCACCCAAAAGAGTGGTTTCGGTGGCTCTAGCTTTGAATATATTTATACAGGAATTAATATGAAATGTTAAGTGAGGAATTATATGAACGTTTGCTTTCGTTGCATCTGTAGCGACGGCTACAAGAAGAAGAGGCATTGGCTACACAACCTGCACAGGGATTGGGGGGGAGTTATATATATGCATTATATGAATGCTTCACTGACAGTGTATATATTAACTGATTGTAAGTACTATTATATGGGTAAGAAAATGTGTATTGTTATTGTACATTTCCCCCGCTGGGGTAGGTTGTGTTCATCGCGGGTTGCAAGCAGAAAGAAGAAGCATTTAATCAATCAGCAAAAGGGGTTTGGGGTGCCCCGAGTCTGAAAAGGAGGTTGGAATGTTTTGTTTTGGGTTGGAAAAAGAGAGAGTCGAATTTGGAGCTGACTTTGGTGTAAATAAAGAAACAAACAACGGCCAGGAGAGTCAGGCTCCATCCTTGCACGTACACCAAGAGGTACCTGTATAGGTCGCTGCTTTCACTGAGAGTATCATGAAAGTCATCAGGAGAAACTGCAGCATTTC